AAAAATGCAAGTAGAAAAATAGGAACCACCTTTGGTGGGAAGGGAACAGTTCGAATCCCTAGCGCCACATAACAGAGTGAGCTCCCGTGACTCGTCCCAGCTTCTGCCAACCTAGCCGTTCAAAAGCAAGTAAAAAATGCAAGTAGAAAAACAGGGACCACTTTTAGTGGGAAGGGAACAGCGTTCCGTGCGCCTTCGGGAGTTGAGTCATGCCGGCCACATGACCACGGAGACGTCTTCGGACAGCGCTGGCTCTTCGGCTTTGAAACGGGGATGAGCACCGCCCCCTAGAGTCGGGAACGGCTAGCCCATATGTGCAAAGGGAAGCTTTACCTTTATCCAAAAAGAACTTGTCAATCATTTCAGCAGCACTGTTGTTTCCCTCCTGTTTTCTTCACCTGCCGTTTGTGTGTGTGTGTGTGTCTCACAGGGCTCCTACGGTGTTGTGAAGCTGGCGTACAATGAAGATGACAACACTTACTATGTGAGTAAGGACTCATCAGCCGGCACAGATTGCCTCAGTTTAACCTAAAATAAAGTTTTTGAACGAAAGGGAAGGACGGGGTGGAATTGGCCGATGAGTTTCGACCAGGGGGGAATTCGTAAGTTTTGCACAGGACCGGAAACTTCATTCATTCAATCTATCTATCGGGTTTTATTCCCGGAATAATTTGCAACGCAGATCTAGAACAGGCTAGAAAGAACAAGCGGTGCAGAAAACTCATCGTGAAGCCGTTTCGGAGCAACGCCCAATTCATTTTGGGGTTGCATTACGAGTTGTTTTGTTCAACCGGCAACTCAACGCAATCTCCTTGTCTCCTGCAGGCAATGAAGGTGCTTTCGAAGAAGAAGCTGATGAGACAAGCAGGCTTCCCACGTACGTTGGGGTGTTGTTATGTTTCCCCAAAAAGCAGGAGGCAGATCCCTGGTCCCGACAAAAAACCCTTTTAGGAAACGAATGTGAATCCCTCCCCTTCACATTCAGCCAAGGCCTGGCAAACAGTCTTTCAAAGGAGTATTTATCACCACAGACCTTATCTAGCTTGGAAAGCTGCCATGTCAGTATCTTCCCAACGAGGTTCTGTGCAAGGAAAGACTACAGAATCTCTGAGATTCACGGACAGATCTTCACACTCCAGAAGCGAATCTAACGACCAAACGAATTGTCGTCCCCCCCTTTTCTTATCGCCTCCGTATCTCCTCCCTTAGGCCGCCCTCCTCCTCGGGGTACCAAGCTCCCCCTGGAAGGATTCTGCCAACCCAGAGGACCCATTGAGCAGGTCTACCAAGAGATCGCCATCTTGAAGAAGCTGGACCACCCAAACATCGTGAAGCTGGTGGAGGTGAGGCCGACCTCGAACTGGCGGCAAGAGGGGGAGGGGGGTTCCAGAACTTGCCGATAGCATTGGCATATTGTGTACCAGTCTAGTGGCATTTCACAGGAGAATGTGTGAGCAGATGGGTTCCCGTTATGGACCCCCTACAGCCACCGGAAGTTAGTGATAACTTCCTGTTTCCAACATTCAAATCGAGGTTTACTAGGGGAAATTTCATGACGTGAATGTTCTGATCTTGGCTTCCCCAAACCACGAAGCAACTCCTTGCCAAAAAAAAAACCCTTTTATTAACTGACTGTGAATTCTGCTCATTCACCTCCAGCAAAGTCTTTCAAAGGAGGATTTATGGTCACAGACCTTATCTGGCTTGGAGAGCTGCCAGGCCGAGATCTGCAGAACTTGGCCAGGAGACTTGGAGAGTCAGGAACCGTCTTGAAGCGAACTAATGGTCTCCTGCAAACTCCACTCCCCTGTCGCTCCTCTTTTATTCCCTCTGGGTGGGGCCATTCATCGTCCACCTGTGGCCTTGCTCCTGACTCAACCCCTGTTCTTTAGTTCTTCCCTTCGTTTGTGCATGCGCACTCTGGGAACAGGCTCCAGCTGTTCTTCTGCCTCACTGATGTCTGACTCCGAAGGCAGCTGATAACTGGCATATGG